TTGCTGAAACCTTGAGCATTTATTGGAGGATCTTAAGATTGGATGTTTGTTTATTGCTGTGTGTTAAGACGTGGGTTCGAGCCATTCGAGAGGCAATGCGTGAGAGAATGTTCAGCATGCAAAGTCTGCATCAGGACAGCTCTGCAACATCTGGTAAACTCGGTACAGACAGTGTGTCCGCTCTGGACGCATATTATATCCGCGAAAATTATCAGGTTAGTACCTGCTACTTCATTATTCAAAGCTCGCTACCCAGTACCATTTCTTCTTTTACTCTTGTACTCACATGTTGGTTCGATGCTACGTAGTGATCGCTTTCGACACTAGGATCCGAATCGTACATGAAACTGGCTTGCGGATGAGTGTAGGTTAAAACATTTGGACAATGGGTTAGTTATGCAGATTTTGTTGATTTGGTCAATCTACATTACCAACTCTGTAGTGTTTGTTCGTGAACAGGCTCAGGGTCCAAACGAGATATCAGTTGCAGCTCACCAAATAGTGCAGCTAATTCAGCGCACCATGCAGCCAAGTGTCGCAAGTGCAGGATCACCGCCGCCTACACCAACCGGCTCAGCATTGACAGAAGAAGTGGAGGGGACGAGTGAACTGTCGTGGGCGTTAGTGCGCTTTGTAGTAACGGGCAGTGCCTCATCACCAAACGCACCCGTCGACGAAGGTTTCATCCCTGCGCGCCTCATTGGTGCTCCTGTTTATCCCCGTGCCGCTTCCGTCACTGGTGGTAGCAGCAGCGGAGGACGCCGTTCGATGCGCCGCTGGCTTCCATCCGCTGGCATTGGAGCTAAAGAACGGCGCCAAATCCTTCCAGGTACTCCCGCTTCCGGCAAGCGTGGTTCCAAAGTTGACATGGCCCCTCCCATCCCTCTTATCAACGTATGTTAGACTATTCCTTCCCAGCTTACCAAATTTCAGCAATGCTGTTTTACCATCACCGAATCAATTCACATAGCGACCTCTGACTGTGACCTCGCAGCAGCCGGTGACTTCAGTGGCTACTGCTGCAACACAGGACAGCACAGCCCTATTGGATAATGTCTCAGAGGAGAGCGTGGAGCTGGAGCTGCCACCGCCCATGATGGAGCTTCAGGCTCTTCCAACTGCTTCTGCAGTTGCATCTGCTGTGGAGAGTGAAGCAGATGTTGGCTCGGAGGTGAGGAGGGCCGAGGAGGATGGAACAGCACAAGTTTCTAGTCGCTCGCCCTCTACTCTCAACATTTCAACCATGGGTAGTGAACTGCAGGTGTGTAGCAAATTGAGGCACTTTAATTG